GCCCTCTCCACCTTCTCCAACACCAGCTCCTTCTTCTGGACCATGGCCGTTGCCCTCTACCTCTACATCACCATCGTCAGGGGCTCGCCCACCGGCACGGGTTTGCTCTGCTGCTTCCACGTCGTGAGGTGGGTGCTTGTCCGCTGCCCCGGGGAGAGCACGAGGGCAGGACCCACGGGCACCCACCCCGTGGGCCGGAGCCACGGCCGCTGCGTGGGGCACGCTCCGCGACCCAGCGCTTGGATGCTTGCTCCGGTCACCTGCGCTTGGCTGAAGGACACCGTGCCCTTCCCAAGTTCCTTTTAAACTGGGATTTTACTGTCTTTTAACTCACCGGCCCTGCTTATTTGCCGCTTCTCCCCAGCGAAGAAACGGAGGCGTGGAAAGGTTTGAAATGATTTAAGGTCACGTAGGAAAATCTCTGGCAAGAGATAATGGCTCGAGACTCCAGGCTTCTGCTTTCCCTCCGCAATTTCCTCTGACAGCCTGGAAATAATACCGTGAAACTTGTGTTTGCAATACCGGTCGGCTGCTGCCAAAACTTCTGTGTTTGGGATCTGTTTCCATGGGTCCCTGAGTTCCTGGTGTCAGCCTGGTCTGTAGATCCTTCCCCTTTCCCCAGGCAGGTTGCCGTAATTCCATACTCGGAGGAGAACGTCGTCTACGAGTGAGGAGGCCGACAGAAAAGCACTCGGAAGGTTGTTTTGGCATGTTTGAAAGCAGGATGAAACACACCACAGCGCAGCTTTATGTCTCAGTTTCTGCTGTTGAAGGAGCTGATTTTCCACATCATGTTTGGTTAAAGCTTTCATTATGCAATTTGAGCTTGTGGAATCATGTGCTACCTCCACGCTGAGCAAAACAGAGATCCTTCAGTCCTCTGTGCTGCCACGCTGTTGCAATACATTCTAAGAGGAACGATCTGTTTAAAACCAAAAAAGCTATCAGGGCAAATACTGCATTTTCTTTGCTTTCTTGGTCAGCTATTTGTCACTTTTTCTTCTCCAACAGCGTCATTTGGGAGGTGATGGAATTAGAGTTCAGTCCAGGTAAAGGTGGGCCAGGGAGAGACATTAAAGGTAAGTGTGAATCAGGGAGGAACTTCAATTCCTGCCCTACCTGTTCTGATTGTTGCTTGAGGTCTGCAGGGAAGGAAGCCCGAGGTGACCGCACACACGTCCGGGTGCGCCAGGCGCCTGTTGGTGAAGCTGAAATAAGTTGTGGTGACGGCGAAGTTTATTGGGTTATTTCATTTCAAGTGACCAGAATGTTGCACCGTAGGAATTCCAGTGCAAGTCTCGGAGAGGGCGAAGTGCCGGTCAAAAGCCGTGTGTTGCTTAGGGAACAGAAAAAAGGAGTCTGACATCTTTAGGGGCATTCTGTCTCCATCAGAGCTGTTGGAAATTTGGCCTATTTGTAACTTTTCTGCCTGCTCACGGCTTGTGTGACTTCAGCTTCTCCCTCTGGCTTAATGCTTCCCGGCCTCGTCGGCTACTGAGTGCGGGAAGAAAGAGGGGAGTCCCTGCGATAATGCTGGCTGTACGTGCACCCTATTAAAGCTGTAAAAATCCTGAGAGATTGCTCTAACCCCGTGACAGAGGAAGGCAGCGTTCATCCTGAACTTCCTCTGCCTGAATTTGCCAGGGTATTTTTCAGGTCTTCGCAGGAAAAACAAAATGCCACTTTTCTGTTCTTGGTACCGATCGGCTCCGCGTGCTCTGTTTAAAGGGCGATACAGCCTTCACCGAAGACCTGGGATCAGGTTGTTCTTCGGACACAACTCCCATTCTGTGCACAGCCAGTGTTCACAGCTTCCTCCTGCTTTAGGGTGTGTGAAAAGCCAGAGAAAACTAGCGAGGATGTGTTCTCTGCCCGTCCCCTGGTGACACATCTCCCCGATTTCCTTCCCTGCACTTCTATTGTTACTTAAGTCAGTCATAAGATCAAATTCTGGACGTAACACTGGGTGATGGTTCACCCCTCACACTTCTCAGTGCGTCAAGGTCCTCCTGCCTCTCTGGTGTTTTTAGCCTAGAAATCTTTCAGTGCCACACAAATTGTACCTTTTCCATCGGTTGCGACAGTTCCTAACGACAGAAGGTTGGTGAGGGGGACCTGTCTGGGGCAAAAGGCAAGGTGGCAAAGGGCAGCTGGTGTTTTAAGGGTAAGATTCCAGCACTTAAAATATTAAAGCTAAGTTTCCAGTACTCTTGTCTAGGCAAGAACCTGGGATTTGATTTTCCACCCTCTTCACCTCAGCAGTTGCTAACGCAGTCATGCAGTGACTTGTGTGAAGGGTCATTCCCAGACCCCTCTGGAAGGGATTCGAGGCAGGATGGAGTTTTGTCATGCGTGTTTCCTATTCTTCACAAGCAGTTAGTCACCAGGGTAAGTGTTTGTAAAGATGATTCCTCTTTTGATGTTGAGTATAACCAGACTGTTTGTTCTGTAGCTGTGTGGCACTGACTAAATAGATGTTGGAAATCAGTACCTGAAATACTCTTTTTAGGGAAATTAGGATGACTCACGGGATGAAACCTGTCAAACAGGTTTGTTCCTTATTGACTGATGTGGTAACCCATCCCCCTATTGTACTGCCAGACTAGAGAGACTGTTTTGGTTGTAAATTTAGGTTGAGCTCAGCTGAGCTTTGAAAACAAGTTATGGTTAGCTTTGGAAATATTTATGTAGTTGTAAGGCGAGTTCTGGCATCCAGAGCGTCAGTTTCCAGGCTGCCTCACTTGTTCTGGATTTCTGAGTGTCAAGTCTGTTTCGTTGGGTAATGTCGTCTTTGTTGTGTGAGCAGCTGATCCAAACTCAGGGTGAGGAATGGACCAGAACCCACCTTGGGATTGTTTCTTCCTTTGCTTTCCATAGCAATTGCTGTCAGTCTCCGGAGTATTTGGACCTCATTTTCAGGCTGTGTGTGTGTGTGTTTATAAATATACTTATTTTTAAAGCTTATTTTTATAAGCATATATATGCTTATTTTTACATATATCTATATGAAGTAAAATATATACATGTATATTTCCATAAATGTATATGTGCTTATATATACGTTTATAACCATGGATGTATATATATGTATATGCAGATATATGTATGTGCTTCCTCACCTGCAGACCTCGCTGTCAAGAACAATCGGAACAGGTAGGGCAGGAATTTAAGTTCCCGATTCACACTTACCCTTAATGTCTCCCTCTGACCCACCTTTACCTGGACTGAACTCTAATTCCATCACCTTCCAGATGACGCTGTTGGAGAATAAAAAGTGACAAATAGTTGACCAAGAAAGCAAAGAAAATGCAGTATTTGCCCTGATGGCTTTTTTGGTTTTAAACAGATCATTCCTCTTACAACGTATTGCAACAGCGTGGCAGCACAGAGGACTGAAGGATCTCTGTTTTGCTCAGCGTGGAGGTAGCACATGATTCCACAAGCTCAAATTGCATCACGAAAGCTTTAACTAAACACGACGTGGAAATGTGCGTCTATCTGTCTATCTGCCTGCGTGTCGGAGCACTTTGGGATCCTCTCATGTACTACGGTGTTGCATCTTCCTCAGCGGACTGAGTCATGCCTGACTGGGACAGTGCCAGCACCAAATTTCTGAACGGGACCTAAGTGTTGCCTGCGAGGGGCAGGGTTCTCTTGAAATGTGCTGTGGCTTTATCGTGTAGTTGATAACAGCTCGTAGGTCAGGTGAGGAGTGAGCTACCTGACTGTTGGTGCCTTGGCTTTTCAATTCTTGCATGCCAGGAAGCTGGTACTTTGGTACTGCAAGCTGTTTGTTACGATGTATACTCCAAGCTCTTTCCACAAATTGGCTGGTATCTCCAGAAGACTGATTTTTCTTTCTTTACAAAGTAAAAATTCCTGGAATTGCCTGTTTGCTGGCAGGATGGCTTGCTGTCTAACCTGTGCAGGCAGGTGACCACAACTCGTCCCTGCTTGTAAGACCCTCTGGGGGAAAAAAAAAACCCAGCTGTGGAGCATAAATCAAAATGCTGTATTAGGCAATCTGACCCAGGCTTACTGAGGACAAAAACCCCAATACAGCTTGTGCTGTGCACTGCTGTAGTTTAAGTGGGTGTCTTTAGCCTTGTCTTACCTTGCATAAAGGCAGCATCGGTGTTCATGTGGAAAGATATGCCGGGTGGTTTGTATTTTCCTTAGTAGACTGTCAGGGGCTGTATTAGGTGATGCTGTATCTGCTTTAGAAATGGGATTGCCTGCCTTTTTACAGAGGTGCTGGGGGTAGTCATCTTTCCCATCTTTCCCTTCTCTCCCTCTCTGTGTTTAGATCCAAGTGTGCTTTGGAGAGGTCCAACCTACGTAATTACACTGTCTTTGGGGCTCAGAGTGAATCTTCTGCCTCTGTTACCTTGGATCCTCTTTATTCCAGTCTTTATATATGCCTTGGGTGTGTAATACTCTGATTCTTCTAGATGGGTATTTGCCTGGTGATGTGTTATTTTGGGGTTCTTCAGAATGATCAAACCGCCGGTCTCGGTTCTGCTTTCCAGTTTTGTAAATCGGAGCTGAAGTTCACCAAAATGTCTGACTACTTTCTAAATTCTTTCTAACTTCACTTTGACTTAGTAGCCCTTTTGTCCTTGGTGTTAGTTGTAACAGCCATCTGACCCCAAGACACTATTTCAGTGAAAATTAACTGCCTGATAAGTGGTAGTTTTCTTCCATGTTTGTCCTTTTACAAGTTAGATACTTGATAAGTCCCTTGCCTGGTGGTTTGTTATTTCCTACTGTGCCCCTATGTACTTAACGCTCTTCTCTTACGTCCATGCATAGCATTTTGACCCTAATTTTATCTTCTCACAATTCTTTCTCCTTTTCAGGTCACTGTGAAGAGCCTTATTTAGGCAAATTAATTTTTTAATACACTTCCTTTTTCTAGGTGCTGGACTCATTTGTGCTTGTGTGCCTTAGTATGTTTTCTTTAAGGAAGTGCCAGTTCTCTTGAATTCTTTGCCTTAGCGGTCAGCCCCTCCACGTGTACCGAAATTTTCACGTCTTTGCATGCCATCCTGCTTTTCAGGGCAATCTGTGGTTTTGCCAAAGTGAGTCCTGAGTTGTGTAGGAGCTGTCGTGGTGGTGGCGATGCTGGGAATGTTTCCAGCCAGCCTGCTCTGAGGGTGGCACGCGGAGGGCTTCCTGCAGCAGAGCTGTTCCCGAGTAACAACCCTGCCTTGGAACAGCACTGCCCGTTCTGAACCCGCGCTGAAACAAAACGTTCTGGACACGCTAAAAGGTTGACTCTGAATTTGTTACGTCATTATGTTTACATTTGCTTTGAAGGAACCCAGACACCATTTAAGAGTAGGAAATGGGGTGTTTTTGAGATCGAGTATCATGGGATTATCTCTGACTTTTTTCAGTCCGGCTGTGGAATTTCAGATAAGCTGGTCCAGGCAGCTGCTGGTTGCCTACAGTCTGATGAGTGTGAAACAGATTTGAGGAGGAAGATCCTTTTCATGTTCTCTGCAGCTGCCTCAGGCCATCTGTGAAAGATGAGTGTGAACCGGGAAGGTTCTGAGCAATACAGTAATGGCTTTGTTTTCTTCGGATCTGGAGAGAGCCGGAGGGTTATGCTGGCAGCTCAGTCTGAGGCTCTCTGAAGCACTTGTGTGGTGTATTGAGGAAGCATCCCTTGTCCTTCTTCAGGCTCCACAGACCCTTTCTCTGGGGATGAGTATGAGAAGGACAGATGATGCATTCGGTTAAACTCAGGGGAGTTTTTCAGTTGTGGAGTCATTTGTGGGCTGCATGTCCCAGGCTGGGGGGAGGCCTGTGAAGTCCTGGCTTTTAACATCACCCAGGAAGTTTTACATTTGGGCTCAGTAGTTTTTCATTTGGGCTCGTGGAATTTTTCAGTTCTTGCTTGTGGTTTTTTGTGGGCAGCCCAAGCTGCCGAGTGACTTAATTCATGTGTGTCACCACAGTCATTTTCCTACTAAATGTTTCCCTGTATTTGCCTCTGCTGTCAAGAGAGGAGCCAAAGTCAAAGCGCAGCTCCAAGTTATGTGAATATGTCTCCTCTTTGCTTTCTTAGCTTTTTGCTTTTACTGCCAAGGCTTTTTCTTGTGAAGAAACTTGCCCTTTGTCCTTTAGAAATGATCCTTTTGCTCCCAAAATATTGACTACACATCCATTTTAAAACAAAAAAACCTAGGAAAGGGATTTGCAGACCACGTTTGTATGCTGTCAAATACCTTTTTGTCAGTCACTTGCCTTCGGCCTGATGCAGGAGCATCGGTATTCTGGAATAAGCATTGGCATCCTGTTAAATTGAGAATGCCTTGGTCTGTCACCCATTTTCCCTGGGGTGTGGAGGGACTGAATTGAAAACGTTCTCGGCTTAACCTGGCTCTCTGTGTTCTTTCCTCAGCTGGGGAGTCCCCCTTGGCATTACAGTGGCTGCTGTTGCTCTGAAGAAGATCGGCTACGATGCCTCCAATGTTTCTGTGGGCTGGTGTTGGGTCAACTTGGATGCAGAGGATCGGGTCTTGTGGATGTTGTTAACGGGAAAAGTTTGGGAGATACTGGCCTATGTGACCTTGCCGGTGCTCTACATTCTCATCAAGAAGCACATCAACAGAGCGGTGAGTATTTTGCTGCTTTCCGCTTCGGTTGCAGCCTTGCTGTGTGATTGTATCCTCCCATGCTCGGAAGGTTTTGCTGCATATTTAGCAGCTACACAGGCAGGAATTGCTTCCCACACCTCTGAAATGCATCCACCCCTGGGAGAAGCAGTACGCCTGACCGAGCAGCCTGCAGCACCATTAGGCAGTGACTTAGCACAGGAGGAGTGTAAAAGCCTTTTGAAAACTTCTGGGGTTAGGGGATACACACGAGTGAAATGGAAATCTTACAGGGAGAATTGAAACAAAATTCAGCTTTAATCAGTTTAATCCACGGTTGTTCCAAGCCCGAGTTTGACATTGGACTTATCTAACCTCCGTCATTTTAGGGTCCCTCATGAGCGTTTGCGTTTATGAATACCTGGTTTGTACTAGCAGCATAAAGCCCCATTTGGGAGCCTGGGCAGTAAGGCATTAGGCACCATAGGTGTCCACAATACAGGAAGACACCCTGTCCTAGGAGGGTTTCCGAATTCAGAGGCTTATTTGCTGCTGTTCCATGTGAAACCAAAGAATCTGGGCATATAGGACAATGTTTGCCTAAGAGAGAAATCTAGATTGGGAGTGGCAGAAGGAACTACATAGAGATTCCTTTTTTCTCCAGGTTGTATTAGGGGAAAAAATAAATGGATAGATGGGAAGCGCTGCCACTGCAAACCTGCTTGCTGGGGTGAAGCTGTGGCAGTGGTAGGTAGGGATAAACACAAATGTGGTTAGGGCGGAATCCTGCGGATGTGTTGAAAGAACATAGTCTTAAACAGTCCTCAGGGTCCTGGGGGAGTTGGGAAGGGTTTGCTAGTGCCTGTCACCATCCCCTGACATAAATCAGCCAGGACTCTGTGTTCCAGCAGCTGTCAAAGATAGCAGTGTGACTGCCTGGAAACACGAGCCCGTGCCTGGCCCAGCTCTTACCCTCTTGTGCCAGGGATCCTTGGGCACTCTGCTCTCCCTTTCCCACTCCCAGCCCTGACCCTCTTACAGGAGCAGTGCTGCGGGCAGGCAGTTGTCACTCTGTTCCCGTACTGGGGGGTCTGAGGGCTGGAGCAGCAGTGCACGGGTGTCATCTGGGCTGGAGAACCTCCCTCCTCATCCCTAGGAATTTTGCCAAGCCTGGTAGCCTGCTTGCCGAGCCTCTTTACTGGCAGAAGGTCTCCCACTTCCAAGGACAATAGGTAACCAAGGCTGGGTTTGAGTTGTAGTGGCTGAAGTGGTTTTTGCAGAAGTGGCTCCCACACAGTCTGAGAGGCAGGAGAAGTTACGGAAGTCGCTGTTGTCAGGGAAGGCAGAGTGTGTGCTAGAGGCTTTCCAAAAGGAAAAACTGCATGGGAGCGGATGGGAAGCTGCACTGAAAGGTCTCAGCATTATTTGACACTGGACACTGTGCAGCTCTGTTCTGGAAGATGCAAGGTGTCAGGGCTGGGAATACTGGAGCCAAGGGGAACACGATGCTTCGAAGTTGTGTGTGCTCCGTAGCCCCGATGGTAGGAGAAATAATTTTTGGAAGGTCAGTTAGCCTGAGATTTAATCTCTTCACCCACATGAACATCCTGGTATTCAGCATCGTGTGTCCCAGCAGCTGCTGTGCGCTGTGTTGACCTGCTCTCCCCTCTCCAGGAATTGCAGTAGCTTTCCCATAGGGAGGGCTCATGGGTCTTACACCTCCAACCACTCTGATCCAGGGCACAGATCCCTAATTTCTTTTTTTCTCCTACATGTGCTGATATAAAGAGGCTTGCTGGCTTGTCCAAATCTATGGGAGCCCGTTGCTGACTGTATGTGGTCAGAAAGCAAGCAGCAGGTTGTACACAAACATACTGAAGGACTGGTTGACATAGGCATAAATTCTTTGTGGAACTTGCTGGCTGTGGTGAAGGCCAAAAGTTTGGGTGGTTTGAGAAGGATCAGCCAGATATCTCCCCATATGTACAGATATAGAGAGGCCTTCCCAAGGCCAAACCCTTAGCCAAGCATTTACGAAGCGGTAAAGAAAGCTACTTTGTGAGGCACTTCGGTTTTTTACGTTGGTATGACCTGGTTTCTTTGCAACCACGCAGCGATGTTTGTTAATACAGTTTAGTGGGACTCCAAGGGCTGTATATGCTTTATTTGCCGCTCCTTGGCTTCAGCAGGGATGTTTGTGTTGGCAAGGGGAGAATGTGGCTGAAGGCTGGCGCTCGTAACCGTGTCCCTGTTAACTTCCCGCAAGATGCAAAAAAATTCAGTTTGCTTTGGAAAGAATCCCTGGAGCGAAATGTCCCATGTGTGTAGCTTTTTGTTCACATTTTTGTCTCCCACCCTCCACGGAAGCACGCGGCTCTCTCAGAGTATCGCCCCATTCTCTCAAGAGCACCTGCATTTCAGCCCCGGACTTCCATAGCAGATAAGAAGTTGGTTCTCATCCCTGTCATCTTTATCATCCTCCGCATCTGGAGCACTGTACGATTCATTCTGACCCTCTGTAACTCCCCTGCAGTGCAAAATTCAGTCCTGGTTGTCCTGCATGTAAGTACCTGTCAGAAAATGTGGTAGAAAGAGGAGTGGGGAGGGCGATGAGGCTTTGCTGGCTCTTCGTGTCGCTGGTGGATGTGGCAGGATGCTCCGCTGTGCAGGCGCGGGCTGGATGCTCAACACTGGCTCCCTCAGCAGCATCTAGTGGCTACAGGAATAACTGCACAGGACTCCAGGACTGCTCCTGGGACAATCAGGCTCAGACCAGCAGTGCTGGGTGTCTGCCCTTCAGCAGGGCTCAGCCTGCTCCTGCCTTAGACCGGGCTGTAGAAACGCAAAACCCGCAACAGCCCTCTGGTCTGCTTTGGGGCACAAGGTGGATTTTTCCTGCGTCTGTTTTTCTCGTTTAGGTGGAAGTTGCTGGCTGTAGTTGGTCTGACACGATGTGCTCTTCTTGCCCTTGCAGGGAATTGGAAACACGTTCCAAGGAGGTGCCAACTGCATTATGTTTGTCCTCTGCACGCGGGTGGTCCGGACACGGCTGTTCTCCTCCGTTTGCTGTTGCCGCAATGACGAGTTGGATGGGCCTTGGCAAAGATCAAACAGCTGCTGGCAGCGCCCAGAGCCTCACGAGAACAAGGATGTGCCAGACCCTGAGCGGATGAAACCCCTGCTTTCCAGCACCTGAGCCTGGGCTGCCTACGTCTTGGTGTTACTTCTTCTTTCTTGGTAAAGATCTGGTGCGAGTCTTTCCTCCTGCCCTGCCTGTGCACAGCTTCATGGTGTGAGGGGTGGGGAACAGCGATGGGGAAGCAGTTGACAGAGAGGTGGGTTTCTGCTGCTAGTGTAGGGCTTCCCTGTCTGACTCCTCAGCAGCTCCCCATCATTGCCCAGAGATGTTGTGGATGCCCCATCCCTGGATGTCTTCAAGGCCAGGCTGGATGTGGCTTTGAGCAACCTGGGCTAGTGGAAGGTGGCCCGGCCCACGGCAGGGGGGTTGGAACTAGATGATCTTTAAGGTCCCTTCCAACCCTAACCATTCTGTGATTCTATGATTCTATGCTCTTTTGGGGTGAAACCATTTGCAGAACTGATCCCCTCCCCTTCCCTGTGAGCCGGGGTGGTGTCTGCTACCCAAGCCTGCAAAATGAGGACAGCACGGTAGTGCTGTCTGGCCCACAAGGACAGGACACCACTAAAAACCAAAGAAGAGCAGTTAGTGTCTCGTGATGTAGAATACCATGCACACATACATTTCTTGAGGACAGTTTGGATGTATTTAGTGCCCCAAGTGCTCCTCATAAGGTAGTGCAATTCCGGCTGCTGATAGTCACAAAAAGAAAACGGAGGATAAGTGATTCATCCAAGCTTGCACAGGAAGTCTGTAGGAGCAAAGACACGACAGCAGCTCTTCATCATTTCAGGCACAAGATTGGCCACTGATGCCCTTTGCATTGGTCTGGTTGCGTAAGCATCTTGCTTCCTTGCGCTTGACCTCAGGAGTGATAGTTGCAGAACATGCAGGGGTGTCCAGACTTCATCTATTTAAGGTTGAGATTGGATATTACGAAGAATTTCTTCACGGAAGGCGTTGTCAGGCATTGGAATGGGCTGCCCAGGCAGGTGGTTGAGTCACCATCCCGGGAGGTATTTAAGCTAGGAGGTGCTGAGGGACATGGTTAAGGGTTGGACTTGATCTTAAAGGTCTTTTCCAACACAGAAGATTCTATGATTCAATTTAGGAGCACTTGGGGTTGTGGTGCTGCGTGGGCTTCTGCCTGAAGCAGATGTTGATAGCACACTCCCTGGTAGCAGAGAGCAGCTGAAGGAGGTAAAATCCTCGAGCAGCTGTCCTGACTGCTTAGGTCAGTGTAAACTGGGATGTGCTGGGAACTGCAGTCTCTTCAGAAAGAGTAAGGAACCCCGTGTACTGGTTATATGTACCGCGCAGGACACGGTGAACAGGGCCGAACTTGAAAGGCAGCAAGCCTGCCTGGGTTGTGGGGCACAGCAGGGGCTGAGCATCCTGGAAAACAGACTGTGCATGGGCTATGGTAGGTCTCTGGGTACACCCCTTCCACGTCACATTGGTTTCTTGTCCTCCCAGACCACAAAGCCCAGAAGAACCAAAGGATTTTTTTAAAATCAACTGACATTTCTTTTAATTTGTATAACAAGTTTTTGCAAAAAGAACAGGAGCCTCCTGAGTTGCCTGGAGAGAGGGGACATCTGTCAGGCTCCCACTGCTCCAGGCACCCAGCTCTTCAAAAGCTGCTCTTACCAGTTTAATTTTAGTCATGTTAACAGCGTGCAGAGCAGTTAAATCACACAGAGATCTCATGGGACTGTAGGCAGAGGTGAGTCCTGCTGTTTCCTGAATTGAAGACTCGGCATTAACTTTATTATTATATAAATATATTGAAGACCCCTTGTACACAGGCTGTGTAATCATGGGAAGCTGGAGTCCTTAAGAGTTCATTAGCCCGCTTCATGGGGCTGTAGAGGGGCTCGGCTCTTTAGCACGTGTAGTCTTTGAAGGGTAGATGTAAGCATCTTCTCTTTGGCATAGATGACTTCAAGAGGTTTTGCCTCCTTTCAAAAGGCTTTTTTAAACTTCTGAAAGCGAAGGAGCAACCTTGGTAGCTCAACCTCATGTTACTCCCACGTGGCTTGGAAAAAGGAGCAACATTAAACTTCTTGCAGGAAGGTAGGGTAGTAAATATTCAAGTTTGTAAGTCTTAGAATTGTGCTGTGTTCGATTTTCTTTGGACCCAGCCCCAAAGAGAGGAAGTAAAATTGTCACCAACTTGGCTTAAGGGAGGACAAAACACCACAAACACAAAAACCCCACACTCCTCCCCCCTCAAAAAAAAAAAAAGAAAATACAAGGAAAAACCCTAATCATAACAGACTTCTTGTTCTCAGTTTGTCTTTTTCTGTAACAGAGCTCTGAGAAATGCTTTTGGAGGAATGTGCAGCTCGACTGAGTTCATGTCCAGCTCCCAGGGGCTCAGGGAAGCATGCTGTTTGCAAAGGCCAGCTATTGGCAATAGCGCCCGCGCTGATATCAGTGGAAAGTCTCTGCTCATCTTCGTGTAGGCAAGGGCAGAGAAAGAAAACCAGCCCGCAGAACCCCTTAGAAGTGTCTGTAGTTCCCAATGCTGAAACTGATTGCAGCCTAATTAGTGATGGGGTAATAGGGAAGGTGGTGTGCAGAAATGCTTGGCTGCTCCGGCAGATCCCTTGGTCTCTGGCACGAAGGTCAAGTGCAGGGGTTGGAGTGCAGTTCTCTGCGGTATTGGTTGTCTGTGAAGATGATTCTGACCTTTTTCCTGTTACGTATAGACTGGAGGATTTTAACCTGGATGTTTTTGAAGGTGGCTGAGGTGGGGGTACCTGGCTGTGCTTTAGGAATGGGTCCATTATGCCTATTTTCAGCTGCTGCAAGGTGGAATACCTGCAGCTTGAGCTGCAGCACGCCTGTTGTCCCAGCTTGGGACAAACCTGTGTGCACTGGCTGCAGGAAAACGGGGCAGTCCTGGATTTTAACTGTGCTTCATTTTGAGCAGGTGCAGGTTCATCCCCGAGCCCGACAGAGGGAGATAAAGCCTGGGGAAAAGTACTGCTGGTGTGGCCGAGCGAACAGAAGAGGTCCCACGCATCCTCGCCATTCAGCTACCAGCTGCTTCGGTCTTGAACTTTGCTCAGGATCCTCTGGAAGATACTGTTTGGCTGTACTCCAACCCCCTGGATTTCTTCTCTCCTTCCCCTCTCCCTCCACTATACATCTTAAAAACTGTTTGGGGTTTTGCTTTTCTGTCTGACGAGATCAATGTGTTGTGAGTTCTGGGGTGAACGAGTATCGTGGTGATAAGGAAACTTCAGTAGCTGCTGAATAGGACTATCCTGGACATGGATTTCAGTCCTAGTGTGTGAGGTCTTCCAGGGAGCTCCAGACTGGTTCCTGTTCTTCCCTTGAGTGTGGACGACAGCGTGCAAACGTGCTTGTTTCGTGGTGGTGATGGATCGTTCCTCTTGGTGGTTTATTTCTCCTCCTTGGTGCTTAGAGTCATCGTCAGTTTGTGGTGTGTAACGTGCTTATTGCCTCCTGGGGAAATACGAACTCTGGAGACTCCCTTGGTCCTCAGGGATATTTGAGTGTTCCACCCCAGCCTCCAGCGAGGACAATCCCTCACCAGCAGCAAGACAGTGCCTGGCATGTGCTCCCAACTCCACATGTCCTCTGCTAAAGCACAGGTTGCAGTCTGTTCCCGCTTTGGGAGCGTTGTATCGGAGCTGGGGAGGGATGGTTTGTTGTTTGCTATTTGGAGATCGTGTTTACCTTATTTAAAGCTCTTCATTTGCTCGTTTTTTAAACATTTTCTCCAACTTTTACAAAATAAAGTTTTATTCTTTACCAAGATGTTGTTCAAGCATGTTGTCATAGGTCTGGCACCTTGGAGACTTTGGATGAGGAACTGTTCTGCGATCGTCCTTCAGGTTTCTTGCGTGTCAAAGACTCAGGCATGTACAGGAAGACAAATCTTTTCTGCCTCTTGGTAGATCTGTTCCTCTTCCTATTTTATGCGTATAGAAATGTAAACCTTTCATCGGTTTGAGCAACCTGCTCATGGGTACGTGTTACTGCGGTTCATTCTTCCTGGCCTATTGCGATGAACTGTGACCTTTGAGAAACGAGTGTGTGGGTCTTGTTTCTCTTTTGACCTTACGGACTGTGGCTCTCGGCTATGTGAGATGACCAGCTATCTGTAATCTTGAGATTACAAACCGTGTTTTCTCTGCATGAAGCCAGGCTGTAACGTAGGTGGGACAAATGCTGGGGAGAGCCGGTGCCATCCCAGGACTTGCCCAAATAGAGAGAATTCAAGTTGGTATGGGGTAAAAAACCCCTGAGGGTTGAGCAGGCTGACAGTGGAGTGTTGCTTTGCAGTTGCCATCTGATTCCAGCTTGCGAATGAACTTTTCTCAGAATAGATTCAAACTTTCTTGGCTGTCTCACAGGGCTGGAAGCAGCCAAAATCCCTGGTATAGCAAGTGGTGCTGGCCCATGGCTGTATTCACCCTGACTGAGCAACAGTGTCTGTTACTAGGGCTGCACGATGCTTCCATCTGGGCTACCTGCTTTTCGGTGGCTTGTAGCCACGTGGCAGGTTTAACTGGTTGCTCTGGGCAGGTGAGGAAAGGAGTGCAGATGCGGTGGACAGCACGCAGAGGAAGGCTTGTTCTGCAGGGTTGGAAGTGACCGAAGGCTCCTTGCAGTATTTTGGCTGCTGTCAGAGGGACTTGCAACGTGTGTTTTGTGTCAACGCTGCCTTCTGTCCCAGGCTTGTCATGCAGTCAGAAATGTTAGTTTGTGCATCATGGATTGCCTTTCGGTTTCTCTACCCTAAATTTTGCCATCCCTGAGCATGGCTCTGCCCCTTGGAGCTCCTGTGCTCCAGCCTGTAGACGCCGGGTTGATGTCAGAAGGAAAGGCGAGGAGCTGAGCTGTGTGCTGCTTTCCAGTAACTCCTGAGAGTCTTTGAAGTTCACAGAGAGGTTTTAAGCACATAAAGACAAAGCTGTACCTGTGGGGAAGGTGCTGGCTGTTATGGACTGTAGGAGTGGAGCATGGAAGTAGGAAAAGCTAGGTCTGCAAAGAGCAGAGCTTGTCAAATAACAGGAGCT